CTCTCCCATACAGCATCTCCTGGTGCAAAGTGCGCTGAAATGTTGAACGATGCACAGTGACACCATCTGCAGCAAGATGATGCTGCAGATCTTTGGAGGTGGTCTGTGGGTTGTCCTTGACCATTCTCAACATTCTTCTTCTCTGCCTTTCTGATATTTTTCTTGGCCTACCACTTCTGGGTTCAACAAGAACTGTCCCTGTGGTTTTCCATTTCCTTACTATGTTACTCAGAGTGGAAACTGACAGTTTAACTCACTGAGACAACTTTTTGTATCCTCCTGAACGACTATGTTGAACAATCTTTGTTTTCAGATCATTTGAGAGTTGTTTTGAGGTGTCCATGATGAATCTTCAGAAAAGGGTCAAGGAGGAGAACAATTTGCAACTGGCCACCTTAAATGCATTTTCTCATAATTGGATACACCTGGCTATGAAGTTCAAATCTTAATGTAGTTACCAAACCAATTTTTTGTGCCAGTAAGTCAGTGAAAAGTAGTTAAGGGTATTTAGGGTGTTGTAAACACCCAAATATTTAGAAATAGAAATAATTAAGATTAATAGGGGTGCCCAAACTTTTTCATGTGTATAATTTATAATTTGAACAAACAAGGATAACATGCAGAGATTAGTCCAAGGGCTCCATTCTCCATTCAACGTTTACACAATCCATCAAACTCAGATTACGGAGTAACTATGCTGGTGGCAAACATCTGTTCATTGCTTTGTCACTATTAATCATTAAGTCAGTGTGTCAGAAATCTCTATTAATGGATTTAAACATGGAGAGACTCAAACTGAGAAAAGAAGCAATTAGAAAGATCTTATTGACATGAATGAAGTAAGTTCTTTGGCTCTCGGACCCCAGCAAAATACATCATGCTGTAAATCGACATGAGCTTGCATGAATAACTTTGGAAGAGGATTAAGGTAGTCGTCCCCCTGGAGCCCGGGCAATGGTGGTGGATAAGTCGGAAGATAAGCGGGTCTAATAATAATCTAAGTTTGAAGAAGGAGATGGGCTGTAGGTGGGGCAAAGTTTGGCTGATGCACTGAATGATGAAGCTGGGCCTTTGTCTTAATAAAGAAGCACTTGAGAAACAATTGGCCTCGGAGAGGGTGCAGTCCATCGTTGATTGGCTGAAGATTAAGCGAGGCACGTCAGCCTCCAAAATGTATTTTTGCTAAAGCTTAATCTTTCAGTAGAACTGCCTCATCTTCAGGCAGAAAGAAAATAAATAATTATTTTTACTCTCAATAATGTAGATCAGAAACCATGAGGCCAATGGACTGTCAGGTTAAAGTAAAATAATAAAAACACACAGTAGGGTTGTTCTTTGATTCGTACCTCATTTTAAACATCCACAAAATAAAATATTTTACCACCTCAGGACATTACCAAATTTACCTTCTTCCGTATCACATTAAGCACAGCATATTCTGCGCATCTTGCTGAATGCTTACTTATTTTTTTTTTATTAATTTATTTTATTTTCACAACAAAAACATAAAAACAGAATAATGTTTTACTAAAAAAGAAACTGCTGAAAAACCCTCAAGGGGCTTAATGAGTGGCAGTCTCCATAAAAACAAATATATTTCACCATTTCAAACATCTATATGATATTGTGTAAAAAAACAAAAAACAACAACATTTTTTTTGTATAAAATATCCTTGATCCTGTGTATAATACACTAAACTGTGTTTGAGTTGTAAAAGAGTAAGGAGGCCTGAAAAGACAACTACTACAGTATGGATACTGGTCAAATTCATTATTAAAAGTAAAAATATTACAAAAGTGCTATAAACAAATAAAGCTATTTGAAGTTGATTCGCTTGATAAACACTAAGAATACTTGCCTGAGCAAACAGTGATTGGGAGGGGTGTCTACGATTTACACAAAATATTAGTCTTAAAGCTCGCTTCTGAAGTCGAAAAACAGATTCAAGTTTAGTTAGGTGGGTGCTAGCCCAAGCAATCCTATAAAGCAGCCATCCTCTGGTGGACCTCACTCTGAATCCTGAACAAAGGAAGGTTCTGTCCAGAACCACGCACATCTGAGAAAGTCGGTAAGACAGGCAATGCTCATTAAGTATTTGTACAATTAGGCAGACTGAGATGCACACTGTGTTCATTTGAGGTTCCACCTACTCCAGTTGCTTAGTAGAGTCAATCTATGGGAGCAAAAATTTTAGCAAATTATTTCCTCATCTATTTTAAAAGTGGTGTGCCCTGCTTCTCATGTATACGTGCTCCCGTAAGCTAACAGCTGTTTTGTGTGCAGCATGCTCACACGCTCTTTCTACTGTAATAACAGTCTACACACAACCCCCCCACCCCCCATTCATAAAACACTCAAATCCGGGACATTTCCAGGGACAGCTGTAGTTGCGGACAGATTGTCCAAAACGGGGACAGTCTCAGCAACTTCACATTTGTATTCCATTATAAATTGTTAAATTGCATTGGTTTGTTTGCATTTGTTAATCCATGTTTACCCATAGATTATTTGTAGCCTCAAAAGTCCAATCCATCTCGCTGTTAGCTGCCATCTTTCCTTGCCATGTCAACTCCCAAAGCCGAAAAAATAAAAACAAAAAAAGAAGAGGCTGCTTGTGAGCCAGTGCTCAGGGCAACGAATCCAGATATTACACATATGAATCCTCTCTGCACATTTGCAGATTTCAAACAACAGAAGTGTAGCAAAAATGTAAAGAAGAGAGCCAACTGAGAAAAGGCTTGAATTGTAACCAATGATTTATCTGTATTTCTGGGTCTTGAAGCGAAAACACTTCAGAGATAAGTTTCTCTGTGTGTGCTTACACATTGTTCTAAACATTTTCAAATCTTTGTACACGTTTGCAAATCTTAGTACACATTTGTAGATCTGAATACAGATTTGTTGATTTTTTTTATTCATTTGCAAACCAGATAACACACACAAATAGAAATACAAGCTGCCTAAAATCAGCGAAGAAGATTCTACAGCTGTGTGTGCACACTATTTGTTTTTGCAGTGACATTTAAAATAGTTAAATAAAGAAATTACCTATTGGCTTTCTCCTACCCTGGCATAATGATTATGCAATGGACGGCGCATGGCCGACCTTTTGAAACGTCAAAATTGAGAAACTGTCAAGATTCCCTTCTGCTGCTGTGCTTTTTCAGACACTGGATATGTCTAAATGTGTTTTAATTATGTTTTTACACCAAAAGCTCCTTGTGAAAATTCTATTCTTTTTTTAAAAATTTGTATAAGATTTATATTATAGTTCTTAGGTCTGCCATTTATTGAGGTTGAAAATAACTATGTGAAAATCCAAAATAATGTTCACATTATTCACTTTTAATTTTATTGAGAAATTCACACCTTCTGATCGAGACAAATCTCTGCTTTAGCAACCTCATTAATAAAAAGCCCACTTTTATGATTCTCCTTCTTAAAAGAATCGAAATCAAGAATCAATAGGAGCTGGAACTGAAACGGGAATCAGAATTGTTCACATATAACTGATGCCCAACCCTACTGATAATTCCCAGCATTTAATTTCTGTGAGAATGCTATTTTTTTATTAATTAAAAAAGCTAATTGTTATATAAGTAAGTGCAAAAAGTGCACTTACTTATGAGTGAAAACGCAAACATACCTTAGCACAAGCAGAAAAGAAAAAAGCTGGAGGAAATGTCATAACTGGACTTCGGTGAGTTTAACTGAATACAGTACCCCTGCTATACGGTACATTATCTAGTGTTGCCAAGAGTAACACATTTAACTATTGTGCCATGTGTTTAGAATAAAAGCTTCAGCTGGTTTATACTCATGGTTCTAAAATAATGCAACAGCAATGTGCAAAAAAGAAGTTTATGGTGCAACCATAGCAACAAATACAAACTTGGATAAATGAGAGTAATAAAAACAAATTTAACAAAAATAAACATCATATAAAATGAACAAAAGAATATCAAGCACATACTATGATCTGGTAAATAAAACGTTACCTGAAACCAGGTAAAAATGGTTTCAGAAACAAGTAAATTATTGAATAATTACTCTTTAGATCTAAATGTACATAACTATATGCAAAATTTTAACTAGACAAAAAAACATAACTGTCCAAACACATTTAACCTCAGAATGTTTCTCCACTCACTCCTTAAAAGCTGTGTTTCCTGGTTTTCTGACTGTAAATAAAAATGATGACATCTGGTGGCCAACTCTGTTGTTACAACTGCCAGTTCTCTCAGTCTTTCTTCTAAAGATCTCATTCATTTTAGCTGTGGAGAAGTTCAGCTTTGAAGATGCAGCAGGCACAGCAGAAACTCATAAATCATTTGTTTTTTAAAGAAACAAAAGTAATCTTTTAAAATTGGTTGCTTTTTGCTTCAGGGAGTTCTGGTAGGTTTTCCATATTTATAGACGGTATAAGTCTGTCACCATCAGACTGTTCCTCTTAGGCTTGGGTTCCTCTGATGAGTTTAGACTGTTCTTTCCTAATCTGTGCATCAAGCTGGATCCAAACATCAATAACAAAAAACACTTTTGGTTATTTGTAAAGATAATGATTCCAACATTGTCAAATATATATTTATGTTTAAAAAGCACTGCTTATCATGAAACCTTTTAATTATGCTTGGGAGAGCCACGCTAATTGACTACACTATTCTCCAAGGTTTGTAATGGTAGAGTAGAGAGTTGTCTCTGCTGGAGTCTTTCCTGCACCTTCAATATTCTCATTCAAGATGGAAGATCCATTTGTATTTTCAGCGGAACTGTTGTCATGGATATTGTCACCGGTTTAATGCAGCTGTTCTGCTGGTAGGTTTACTGTAAAATAACCAGGAGAGACTGTGTTTGCTTGTCCGTTTTGTATCTGTATCTCCTCATATTGGTGATTTTCATCATTTATCTGGAGAATGAAACAACAATTTGAAAGAATTAGAGCAGTGATAAGATATCTGCATCTGGTGTTTCTGCATTTAAATAAGGAATATATACAGACCTCTGTGTTTTGAACATCTTCATTGTGCTCTGCTTCTTCCTCTGAAACACAACACCCTGAGATAGAGAGGATTTAAATATAAACCATTGTTTTACCAGGTGTTACGTCTTGGCAAATAATTTCATGGTCACTTTTTATAAATAACAGATCTGTATATTTTACTAAACTGCTAAAATAAAAATAAAAATAATTAAACTGCGAATAAATTTTATTTCTATAGAGGAGCTTCCACAAGAATATTTTTACAAAGTATTCCTCACCTTCCCTCTTGAGGAGTTTCCGTCGAAAAAGTATTACAACAATTATAGCAGCCACCACCATTACGACAGATAAAATTACAGCAATCAAGCCTGCAAACAAATGAGATAGTCATAACAATATTGAACAATACAGAGTATACTAATACTCTATTAAAAAGAAGTCATATAACAACAAAAAAATAAAAACAAACAGGAACTGTTCAAAAAGTGTGTTTAACAGAATTATTATTATCCCATTCTTTACCTAGTGTTGGAGGGTACTGTTCTTTCTCAAGAACTAAAACAAAAAAACTAAATCTGTTCTATGTCCATAGGTATTAAATGGTTTACTTCTGTGAACTTCTGTAAATTAAGCAGTGATGAGTGAAACAATAATAAGCATTAAGAAAAATTGTTATTATTATTTCTTATTATTTTATTATTAAATTATCTTATTTACACACAAAAAAAGCCACAAATAGAATAAAAAAAAGAAGTCTTGCTGCAAAGAAACACTGTTCAACTGTTGATATATTTATTTTTGCACTGCTCCGAACCTTCCACATCAATGCCTTTTGCACCATGTCTCTCCTACATTTTGATCACGCTGCACTTTATAAATGGAAACGTTCATTTCACTGCTAAGCTGCTGCTCTATCACTGTGGAAAAGCTTTATATACTGAATGTCAGGGCTCCTGTTTTGTGTCTGTGTTTTCTGTGTTTGTCTCCCTTCATCCACTAGGAGGCACCTGGTTCTGGTCCGCCTCCTCACACACCTGCGGATGGTTTCCTCGTTAAACTGAGTGTTCTTAAGCTGCTGACTGCCACTACATCGACACCAGAGTGTTGCCAGTTTAGGGTACTCTAGCCAAGCTGAGTTCTTGTCAACCTGAGTTTAACTTTGTTTTGACTTTGCCTCTTGGCAGGCAGTTGTCCTGCTAACTGGATCTCTCGGACCTTCACACCCTGAAACTGAGCTTTAAACTGAGCTGGGATTCAAACAGGAGGTTTGGATCCACTTTCCCAAGAGATCGTTTTAGCTTTCCACTGAGAAAGGGAATATTCTCCACATGGACCCGTTCAAGTACCGCAGGAAATCTGAGTGGCAGTCAGTATCTCCGTTCTCCAACTATCAACTGCATTCTGGGTAAAACCTGTTCCGCCCTCCACCAAATCAGACAAACACTGGAACCACTGCACACAGAGAGGAGTCAAGGATACAACAACTTCACTGGAAACGTGAGTCGGCAACCAAAACCTCTTCAAGTTTCACAAGTCAAATTCCCCACTGAGCCTGAACTAACCGCTGTGTCTTCCCCCTCACTTTGTAGTTCCGGTTGAGCAGTGTTCAGAGCAACACTTCTCTTACCTTTTTACCTTCCTACCTTCTGTTCCCGTGGTAAACAAAAACTGCATTGGCAACATTAGTGGATAAAAAAAGGACCCTTCTTCAAACAGAAACTTAACCAGTGTTGGAAAGTAACAAAGTACATTTACTTTATTACTGCACTTAAGTTCTATTTTTGAGTATCTTTACTTTACTTATGTAAATGTTTGGGGACGTACTTATAAGCTATACTAAGTCTAGCTCAAGTGGTAAGTCATATGGCTTGCACACAGGAGGCCCGCTTCAAATCCCTGCTGAGGGAATGAGCTGCCAGTGTGAGTCTTTAGGCATGATCATTCACACTAATGGTACCTCATTTGTTTTTGTTTGTTTTTTAATGACAACGACTATTCAAAATATCTGTCCTTTTTTTTTGAGCCGTAAAATCATTTATTCTGATCCAAACTTTTGTTCCAAGTGAGGGGATAGAATCTACAGATTTCCCCCTGATTGTTAAATCATGCACGACTATGATTGGTGGAGTTATTTTGAAGTGAAGAAGCAAAGCGGAGTGAAATTCATGCCAAGAAAAGAAACAAACAGGAACTGTTCAAAAAGTGTGTTTCACAGAATGATCATTATCCCATTCATTACCAGGTCTTGGAGTCTGCTGTTCTGCTACTACAGCAGTTGCAGTAGTAGCAGTAGTTGTAGTAGTAGCAGTAGTAGTAGTAGTTGTAGTAGTAGCAGTAGTAGTAGCCGCATCATCTAAAGGAGATAGCAATGAATAAAAGTTTAACTTTTTGATGAGGAGGCTTTTGTAGACCCTACAAAAATGTTTATCTTTAATAATTGCACAATGATAATTAAAGAAATCACCCCTGGGTAAGGTAATATGAATTTTAATCATACAATTTTACCAAAATAAAACTACAGAAATAAATAAATATTTCCACTGTGTGTAAAGATTTTATTGGTGTCTCAAAATAGAAAGTACTGAGGAAAAGAGAGCAAAGATTGGGAGTACGCAGAGAGGTTTGAGGCGTTTCTCTGTGATACGTTATTATCTTTTATTAATGCTTTATTAGTGCTTGATCTTATTTACACATAAATGATCAGAGATAGAATTCAAAATAAGAAGTCATGCAGCAAAAGGAACATACAGGAACTGTTCAACTGTCTGTTTATTTATTTTTGCACTGCTCTGAACCTTCAATCAATGCCTTTTGCACCTTGTCTCTCCTACATTGTTTACATTTTGATCACGCTGCACTTTATAAATGTAAATTTTCATTTCACTGCTAAGCTGCTGCTCTTTCATGGTGGAAAAGCTTTATATACCAAAATTTCTTTTTGTGAACACTCTGCGTATACAAAGTATCAATAAAGTTTGTCTAAGTCAAAAAGTGCACAGAATGACCATTATCCAAAGTTTTTACCTGGTTTTGGAGTCTGCAGTTGTTTCTGATGATCATCATCATCATCATCATCACCATCATCATCATCTATAGGAGATAGCAACAAATTAAAGCTTAACTTTTTGATTAAGAGGCTTTGCAGACCCTACGAAAATGTTTATCTTTAATATTTGCACAACAATAATTAAAGAAAACACCCCTGGATGAGGTAATATGAATTTTAATCAAACAATTTTACCAAAATAAAACTACAGAAATAAATACATATTTACACTGTGTGTAAAAGTTTCGTTGGTGTATCCCAGTAGAAAGTACTGAGGAAAAGAGAGCAAAGATCAGGAGTATGCAGAGTGGTTTGAGGCGTTTATCTGGCATCAATAAACAAAATAGATGAAGAATAAATTAGACAGATTCTTATGATCAATTTCTTAAGTATTTGCATCTTATCTGATGAGATGTTATCTCATAACAATAGTGAGCAATACAGAGTATCCTAATACCCTAAATTAAAAAGAAGTCATGCAACAAACTAAACAAACAGCAACATTTAGAAAAGTGTATTTATTTATTTTTTTTCCAGTGTCCTGTCTGGCGATGTGCCAATAAGAATAATTGTCTTGATGCCAAAAAGAGCCCAACAGATTTGTTTTCATAAGTGGAGCAGTACAGCTATAGCTGTATTATAATTCATGCAGGGAGTGTTACAGATTTTATGGAAACTGCAATGTAAGCAGAACAGGAAAGGAGAAACTGAGAAAAAAGGAGAAAAGACGAGATAAAAGGGAGATAACGAAAAAACATCTTCAGTCAGCTTCATCACCTGCAAAGAGATGAAAAAAGAACAGCACAACCAATGGATATAGTATAAGAGATACAATAAAGTAACACCTTGATACTGTTGCTCAAGTATAAGCAGTATTATTTTATCTGACACGTATACTGTGGTAGCTGAAGATAAGAATATGGGCTTTCTGTATGGAAGTAAATCTTTAAGTACCTGGAACCAAGCACCTGTAGTTGTTTGTAAGAGTGCACTTACGCATGTAAAGTGTACCCAATGGAAAAATGCTCAATAGTGGTTTGTGAGGAGCCAGGGGACCCAAAGCCCCAGACGCCCAAAGGGATCCCAAGAGTAAAGGTGCCCACGAGGGGCCAACCCAGGAAATCTGCCCCCCCGCCAAGGGAGGAGGAGAGACGGCCCCGAGGAAAACCCCTAGCCACCACAACAACAGAGCCCCAAGGAGCGCGGGGACAAGTATGCGGCTCCGCCGGCAGCCAGCCACCTCAAAGTGGAACCAGTACCCGCCTGGGCATCCACCCCAAACACCGAGCACATTTTGTAGAATGTCAGGGTTATTCCAGATGGGTGTACGACTGCACGGGATAAGTGATGACTTCGTCATTTTAAGAAATTCCCATCATTCCCATCGTCAGGGAAGAGCTGATGTTAATATTTTAAAAACATGAATGCCGCTTGATATTAGAGCTAATAAACGGCACATTTGAAATTACAGGTGCTGGTCATAAAATTAGAATATCATGAAAAAGTAGATTGATTTCAGTAATTCCATTTAAAAAGTGAAACTTGTATATTATATTCATACATTACATACAAACTCATATATTTCAGATGTTTATTTTGTTTAATTTTGATGATTACAAATGACAACAAATGAAAATCTCAAATTCATCATATCAGAAAATTAGAATATTACTGAAGACCAATAAAAACAAAGGATTTATAGAAATGTTGGCCAACTGAAAAGTATGAACATGAAAAGTATGAGCATGTACAGCACTCAGTATTTAGTTGGGCCTCCTTTGGCCTGTATTACTGCAGCAATGCGGCGTGGCATGGAGTCGATCAGTCTGTGGCACTGCTCAGGTGTTATGATAGCCCAGGTTGCTCTAATAGTGGCTTTTAGCTCTTCTGAATTGTTGGGTCTGGTGTATTGCATCTTCTTCTTCACAATACCCCATAGATTTTCTATGGGGTTAAGGTCAGGAGAGTTTGCTGGCCAATTAAGAACAGGGATATCATGGTCCTTCAACCAGGTACTGGTAGCTTTGGCACTGTGTGCAGGTGCCAAGTCCTGTTGGAAAATGAAATCTGCATCTCCAAAAAGTTGGTCAGCTGCAGGAAGCATGAAGTGCTCTAAAACTTCCTGGTATGTGGCTGCGTTGACCCTGGACCTCAGAAAACACAATGGACCAACACCAGCAGATGACATGGCACCCCAAACCATCACTGACTGTGGAAACTTTACACTGGACTTCAAGCAACGTGGATGAAGTGCCTCTCTTCTTTTCCTCCAGACTCTGGGACCTTGATTTCCAAAGGAAATGCAAAATTTACTTTCATCAGAGAACATGACTTTGGACCACTCACCAGCAGTCCAGTCCTGTTTCTCTTTAGCCCAGGCAAGACGCTTCTGACGCTGTCTGTGGTTCAAGAGTGGCTTGACACAAGGAATGCGACAGCAGAAACCCATGTCTTTCATACGTCTGTGTGTGGTGGTTCTTGAAGCACTCACTCCAGCTGCAGTCCACTCTTTGTGAATCTCCCCCACATTTTTCAATGGGTTTTGTTTCACAATCCTCTCCAGGGTGCGGTTATCTCTCTTGCTTGTACACTTTTTTCGACCACATCTTTTCCTTCCCTTCGCCTCTCTATTAATGTGCTTGGACACTGAGCTCTGTGAACAGCCAGCCTCTTTAGCGATGACCTTTTGTGTCTTGCCCTCCTTGTGCAAGGTGTCGATGGTCGTCTTTTGGACAACTGTCAAGTCAGCAGTCCTCCCCATGATTGTGTAGCCTATAGAACTAGACTGAAAGACCATTTAAAGGCTTTTGCAGGTGGTTTGAGTTAATTAGCTGATTAGAGTGTGGCACCAGGGGCCATCAATTTTGAACCTTTTCACAATATTCTAATTTTCTGATATGATGAATTTGAGATTTTCATTTGTTGTCATTTGTAATCATCAAACTTAAACAAAATAAACATCTGAAATATATGAGTTTGTATGTAATGTATGAATATAATATACAAGTTTCACTTTTTAAATGGAATTACTGAAATCAATCTACTTTTTCATGATATTCTAATTTTATGACCAGCACCTGTATGATAATTACTGCATATTTCCTGTTCTGTGTCTATCCAGGGCTCATCTAAGTGAGTTTGTTTTATCCAATTAGAGATGTATTATAGTCTATTTGCTAAGTAGTAGTTATGGAAGTTAGATAAATCTAGTCCCCCTCTGTCTTTAGTTGTCTGTAATGTCTTTAAGCTGATACGAGGGGGTTTATCTTTCCAAAGAAATTTACAGATGGAGGAATCTAGAGATTTAAACCAGTTGAATGATGGTTTATTGGGGATCATTGAAAATAAGTAGTTAACTCTAGGTAAGACCATAATTTTATATCTTTTATAAAAGTAGGATGTGGTTAAGTTTTGGTAAATCAGCTAATTTCGATGACAAAGTAATTCCCAAATATTTGATATTTCCTGGTTGCAATTGTAGACCGGAGGGATTCTGTAGAGATTAATTAATTGGTAGTACTATAGATTTAGACCAATTTATAGAGTAATGTGAGACTTTTGAGAAAGATTCTAGTAATGTAATTACTCGATAAAGGAAACTGTTTCAGTGCTAGAGATAAAGCAATACATCATCTGCGTAAAGACAAATTTTATGCTCTATTTTCATGCATTTTATACCTTTGACAACATTAGTTTGTCTAATTGTTGCTGCTAGAGGCTCAATTAAAAATGGCAAAAAGTGAGGGGAGAGCGGGCATCCCTGCCTGGTGCCCCTCTGGAGACAAAAACTGGAAGATATTTGTCCTGACACAGGCTGTTGGGAAGCTGTATAAGATTTTTAACCAATTTATAAAGAAATTGCTAAAACCAAATTTATGTAGAGTAGCAAACAAAAATGTCCAGTTTACTCTATCATAAGCTTTTTCTGCATCTAAAGACAATATGTAGGATTTAATATTTTTTCTGCATGAATTGCATGAACCCTGGTCCTGGCGCTTTATTATTTGGCATGCTTTTTAATGCTTCCTATAGTTCAACTGTTGACAGCGGTAAGTTCAGGATCACTCTTTGACTCTCTGATAATTCAGGAAAAGTTCTTTTATCCAGAAATCGATTGATTTATAGAAATCTCGGAAGTCGTTGTTAATACCCTCAGGGTCCTGTAATGTATTACCAACTGAGTCTGTAACTGCAAATATACCGTAGTAGTTTTTTCTTTGTTTATATTCAGCTGATTAGCTAAGAAACGTCCTGACTTATGCTATGTTCAAAGTTTTCTATTTGAAGTCTTTGTATAA